AACCCCGCCCCCCGCCCAGGCCTTCACCACAGTACTGTCTGTCCATGGGCTCTGCATGTATGCATACAAGTTAATCTCTCCCACCCCTGCTTTCTCTCTGAAACGCGTCAGTCTGCCCCATGCTTCCATGTCTCTGGATCTGTTTTGTTCGTCAGTTTATGTTGCTCATTGGATCTGATTTCCACAGGGCGGGTGGCTGTTGGGGTTTGCAGGTGGACTTGGGCAGTCACAGATTCATCGGCAACCCCTCCTTCCCAGCTACCAGCAGCTGAGGGCGCTCTTGTTACACAACTTCCTTCTTCGTGAAGGAAGTGAAGTGATGCTCTGAGAGGAGCAGGGACCTCTGAGCGGGGACGGGGTGAGATGCTGGAAGAGGTGGGGGGTTCACCCGGCTCACCCCTTTCATTACGCAGGCAGCGCCAGAGCCCACACGGCCAGTCCCTGCCCAGTCTGCGGCCACTGCCTGGCTCAGCCTCCGTGGGCTTTCCCCCCTCCCTTCACCGTCTCCTCTGGGGGACAGTGCTCTTTGCTCTCATTCCGTTGCTTCTGAAAAAGTCTTTTCCTCTCGGTCCCGTGATAACGCGGACACAGGCCCATGTCGGGGCCGAGGCGTTTTCTGTGCGTAGTGTTCAGGGTCCTGAGGAGCAGAGCACGCATGTCCGGGCAGCACGTGGGGCCAACGCACACGTGAGCGCGTGGGGGCCGGTGTCGGCGTCCGCGGCTGCTGGCCGGGCACCAGTGTTGGGATTTTTCCTTGGGGAGCTGGGCGCCAGGCAGTAAGGAGAAGTGTGTATTGATTGCCATTGATTTAGTGTCAAGAACAGTAGTCCTGACAGAAGATCCATCCCTGTGGTCAGTAGACCCTCAGGGGCCAAGCGTCTTACTGCCGAGCCCTCAGGGGCCAGCGGGTCTGAACTTGTAATGCACGTGAACCGCCTTGTCGGCTCCTCCCGGCTCCAAAGATTCCTTCCTGGTCTTGCAAGACCACGTGGGGCGACCCTAGAGTGGACTCCAGTCCGTGACACCCCCATGTCAGTGACACCCCCCGTGTCAGTGACATCTCTGATTACTTCAAGTTTGAAACTCAGCCAGCCTGCCCTGGCCAGTTTGGCTCAGTGGGTAGAGGGCCTGCAGACTGAAGGGTCCCGGGTTCGATTCTCTCTCTGTGTCTCTCCCCCTCCCTTCCACTCTCTTATGGAATAATACCCTCGGGTGAGGATTAACAAAAGGAAAAAAGAAGCCAAGCTAGTCCAAGTAGCGTGTCCTCAGTCACAGGCTGTGGTTACTGCTAGTGTAACGATGCATGAAACACACGTGTGCAGAGGTGTGCGTGCGTGCGCGCAGGCGGGGCCCTGGGTGACGGGGGATGGCGTAGGATTGAGACTCGCACAGTATGATCTCAAAGAAACAAGTACTCAGTCAGCACCGGTGCCCGGCGGCAGCTGGTATGTGCCGGTCGCTGTGAAGGGCACACGAGCTGATACCCAGCAGGGGCTCCTCAAAGGGCCCAGGACAGAATAAGCAAACACTTCACCACCAACCACTTCGCACTCCCATTGCTTTAGGAAAACCGGCCCTTGCACCTGCCTGGCCCCGCGACGTCCACACGCCCACCTGGCCATTCCTGGCTGCTGGTGCGACTCGCTGGGCAGGCACCAGGCTACAGTCGGCTCACCCACAAACGTAACGGTTATAAGTAACCAGAAACACAGGTGATAGCAACACCGAGTAAGATAACTGGGAGGTGATGAACTTTATTACTTTTTAAAATAGGATTTTTTTAAAAAAAATTTTTTTTATTAATTTCAGACAGGAAGGGAGAGGGCACACCCACACTGGGGACTGGGCCCGCATCCCGGGCATGTGCCCTTGACCGAGAATCGAACCCTGACCAAAACACAGGTGATAGCAACACCGAGTAAGATAACTGGGAAGCAGTGAACTTTGTTTATTACTTTTTAAAATATGATTTTTAAAAAATATTTTGTTACTGATTTCAGACAGGAAGGGAGAGGGAGAGAGAAACATCCATCCATGATGAGAGAGAGTGTCATTGATCAGCTGCCTCCTGCACACCCCACACTGGGGACTGAGCCCACTGTTGCCAACCACGAGGAGAAACGAAAGGTTGAAAGACAGTGATTCCATCTTTCGAAGATGACACGACCTCTGACCCCTGGTCCAGGTCTCCATTTCGGTCCCCAGAGCCTCTGTCTGTATATTCTCATGGGAGCTACGAGTTTGGCCAACTCTCACCGTCACGGAGAAATCGGACAGAGCCTGCCGAGTGCAGACCTGCAGATACTTTCAAACTCTAACCGGGTGTAGTTTTCAGCTCTCCCTTTTCTTCGGGGGTTTTCAGAAAAACCAGGCGGAAGGCCAAGTCCTGTAGGTTGAGGTTCAACCACTGAGCCACGCTGGCCGGGCACACGATGATTTTTTAAGTGATGAGTTTATATCTGTGATGTTAACAATGGCTGCGTGAGCCGGTAGGGGCCTGACCCTCCCACACCTGTGACACCTGCCTGACTGTCTCAGAACGGGACTGCCACAGAGGAGAGACGAAAGGTCGAAAGACAGTGATTCCATCTTGCGAAGATGACACGACCTCTGACCCCTGGTCCAGGTCTCCATTTCGGTCCCCAGAGCCTCTGTCTGTATATTCTCATGGGAGCTACGAGTTTGGCCAACTCTCACCGTCACGGAGAAATCGGACAGAGTCTCCTGAGTGCAGACCTGCAGATATTTTCAAAATCTAACCGGGTGTAGTTTTCAGCTCTCCCTTTTCTTCAGGGGTTTTCAGAAAAACCAGGGGGAAGGCTGAATCTTCTGGGAGTTATTCCTGCCCTCTGCCTGCCCCCGACCTCTGTCTGTCTGTCTGTCTGTCGGGCCCGCTCTGCGTTTCTACTGACCCGTGGCTGGGGGTGCTCCTCTGAGTGACCAGCACCTCCACCCCAGCCCTCCCGGGGCTCACCTGGCTGGGTGTCTGCCCTGAGCCCTGACTCCTGGGGATGGTGCCTGGAGTTCAGGACACTTGTGTCTGGGCTGCTGCCCGCCTGGCTGTGGCCCTAAAACCAGTTAGTAGAGCTGGGATGTGAACCTGAGTCCTGGCTCGCTGGCCCGAAAGAAAGTGGGAGCTTGGTTCTGGGGGCGGGGCGTGGGTAAGGACGGAATCTATTGGGGCCGTTCCCACTGCTCCCACCCCGTCGGGACTCCATCCAGGGCGCTGCAGGAGGACGCTCGCGGGGCGGGCACGCTGCCTCTTCGCTTGAGTTTTATGGGTCCCTTTGGGGTTTAGGGTTGTCCGTCTTTGTGAAAGGCAGACCACTTTATTGCTCTGTTTCTTAGCGGCCCTGAGCCCGTCCTCAGCTGGCGGAGGCATGTGTGGGGAGGGCGCCCTATGGCTGAGTGCCCTGAGCAGCCTGTGTCGTTGCAGCTGGCCAAGAACATCGGGAACGCGGGCTTCAACGAGATTATGGAGAGCTGCCTTCCAGCCGGGGACCCCGTCAAACCCAGCCCGGGCAGCGACATGTGAGTGCGGGGCTGGCCGGCCGGGGCCCGGGTTCTGAGGGGCAGGGAGTGACAAGTTTGGGGTCATCGACTGTTTCTCTCGGGCGGGGGTGGGGAAACCCTTTGGTCTGGCCCTGCCGAGGCATTCGGGGCGCGTTAATGAAAGGTTTGACCAAGTAGAGCAGCCTCGCTTTTCACTTGGTGATTTCGTACAGCCCGAGAACGACGTCACAAAGACCCCCATGGCTCTGGGCAGAAGGTTCCCCGCCCGGCGTGAGGGACTAAGTCGGCCTACGCTGTGGGTTTCGGGGCTTTTTTCGACATCGCCTTCACCTTCCGGGGTGTCCCAGTGGGAATGGGTGGCGTGGCTGTTTTTCCGAGGAAGAGGCCCCGGGAAAGCCCGTGGGCTGGGGTTCTGTGCGTGTGCAGGGGGTACGGTGAGTGTCGCCCTCGTCTGGTGGTGTGTGGGTTCACACGCGCCTGTCTGCCTGGGGAGTGGAGTCCCTCCAGGCTTAGGTCTCCCCTAAAGCCAGGGCAGGCGGGCAGGCAGTCCACCCTAGCGAGCACCCCTCCCGGAGGCCAGGCGTCTGCAGGGGGCCAGGAGCGGCTGCTGCAGGGGGGTGGGGGGTGGGGTGACTAGGAGAGAGGCCCCGTCAGGGCTCTGGGCAGGCAAGGCTTGGAGGCACGAGGTGGTGCGGCCAGCGGCTCCGGGGGTGGGGCACGACTTCAGGGGGAGCGGAGACGAGGCTGGTGTGCAGGGGGGCTTGCAGGGGGGGGGGGGGTGGGGTGACTAGGAGAGAGGCCCCGTCAGGGCTCTGGGCAGGCAAGGCTTGGAGGCACGAGGTGGTGCGGCCAGCGGCTCCGGGGGTGGGGCACGACTTCAGGGGGAGCGGAGACGAGGCTGGTGTGCAGGGGGGCTGAGACGGGCGGCCCCACCCCGGGCCCACATGGCTAGCACTTGGGATCAGGATGCAGACCCAGGACGCCTGCGTAGGCTTGCGGCCGCCTGCAATGGAGGCTGGAGGGTCGCTGCTTCTTGAACATGCTGAGGGGTCCCCGGGAGCAGGTGCCAGATGGGCACAGGGCACGGCTTCCCTGATTGAGCTTCCTGTAAGGCGGTGGGGACCGGGCTTTTATTTATTCATTTAATTTTTAATATTTTAATTGGTTTCAGAGGAAGGGAGAGGGAGAGAGAGAGATGGAAACATCAATGATGAGAATCATTGATCTGCCTCCTGCATGCCCCACACTGGGTATCAAGCCCGCAGCCCGGGCCTGTGCCCTGACTGGGAATCGAACCGTGACCTCCTGGTTCGTAGGTCAACGCTCAACCCCTGAGCCACGCTGCCGGGCCTGGCTTTTTGTAATTGTCACAAGTGAACGGTGTTGGCTGTTGGAATAGAGGCCTCAGTCGTTTACTAGGCCGTTGGCTCGCTCCCAGGAACGCCAGGAAGGACTACATCATGGCCAAGTACATCGAGAGGAAGTACGCACGGAAGAGACACGCGGACGGCGCGGCCAAGCTGCACAGCCTGTGCGAGGCCGTCAAGACGAGGGACATCTTCGGGCTGCTCCAGGCCTACGCCGACGGCGTGGACCTCACGGAGAAGATCCCCCTGGCCAACGGGCATGTAAGCGCGTGGTGAGGCCGGGAGCTGGAAATGCCGGCAGGAGAGGGGAGTTCTCTGCGGGAGGGCGGTGTTCCGTTCCAGGGGAGTGTGAGCACCCCGTGGGCACTCGGGTGCCTCGGGGCCGGGCCTCAGTGGCAGCTCTGGAGGCCATGGGGGG